CGAGGGTGCATGCATGTTACAGATACCAGGGGCTTGACCTGATTTTTTTCTCAGCAAATCCCAGAATCAGAGAAGCAAATTTCTATTTTTTGTACGACTTTTTATTATTGTTTTAATTATTTTGTTATTGCAAGATGTGGATTATGATATTTTTTACTCTCTCTCTCTCTCTCTCTCTCTCTCTCTCTCTCTCTCTCTCTCTCTCTCTCTCTCTCTCTCTCTCTCTCTCGTGTGTATATGTGTGTGTGTGTGTGTGTGTGTGTGTGTGTGTGTGTGTGTGTGTGCGTGTGTGTGAGTGTGTGTGTGTTTAATTGTCATCAATCATAGAATTAAATGAAATTTCCAGAAAGTAACTGTACCATAGCTACCAAAGCTAATCATGAATGGTAAACACAAAAAGAACTTTAGTTCTCTCAAAATTTGCATTTTAAGCAAAGTCCCAGAAATGTCTTGATTTTATTTTTTTATTTTTTGTAGCATGGAAAACACACCAGGGTGATTCTGTACCATTAAAGCTTGTTCTGCAGGAAACAAACATGAAACATCCATCAAACACAAACATCTGGGTCTTTTAATGAAAAACATCAACAAAGGTTTTTATTCTTCTATGACAAAATTAGTGCATTTTAGCCAGGAAACACTTCCATGTGGCTGGATATCTAAACAGGTTGAGAAAAACTTCTGGACGGGGCTAAACGACATCTCCAGTGCTGACTGAATGAGAGGAGGCTAAACTGATTTGTTGGTAGTGGAGTCACCTCTAACATCTACTCCAACTCAAGATATTTAATTAAAGCTTTGGCATTATCTGTGGTGAACCCAGATTGTCTGGTAACAGGATATCCCCTGCACCGCTGGATGGATTTGAGTCAAACCCTCAGTATGCCTGCATAGGATAAACATCTACAACAATTAGTCACAAAGTTGGGGTCGACACCAATGCTAACCCAGCGGTTTAAGGATGAAACCAAATTAATCTGGAAAATAAACACCAACAGCATATTAGTGATACAAGTGTGGACGCCTCAGATGCCACTGCTGCTCCTGGGGCAGATGGCTCCCCTGATGATGTTTCCTTGGATCATCTGAACTCAGCCCGATGTCTCTTTTTGCTTTTACTTATGGGGGAGGGATTGGAATGAGGTTTGTGTGGGCTCATTTAATATAAATAAAGTTTGATGAGAGCACAACAAACTGGCATAATGCCAAGTGAAGTTCTATTATAAGAACATTATATACTGTAGTAAGCTTCAGCCAGCATTAAGTGGGATTGTGAGTCAGAGTTATTTAATGGTTCAGAAACTTTTTGATATCACTGATCTATAGATCATTGAAGTCCACTCAATGCAAGCTAAGCAAACATACGCACTGACCATTCTTTGGTTAATTTTACACAAATGGAGCTAAAGAACAGCAGAGGGTTATTTACAACAAGAGCATAACATTATTTTAAAATTTTGATCAACTTAACTTCATTTGTCCACGTAAGATCACCTTGTGGAGGCTAAGAGGCTAATGGAAACTGATGGATGGATGGTTAGCATGGACGTAGGTTTGACTTTAGAAGTGGGGGCACACAACCGGCATGAGGACTGGGGGGGGGGGGGGATCTTTACACTAAGTAAACAGAAAAATATGTAATAAGAAACAGGCTTCAACACAAGCGGTTGTTTTCGGCTTGGTCCTAGTGTCTATTTAATAGAGCGTAATATTGTTTTTGCACAGTAAAAAGTGCACGGGACAAAAATCAACTTTGGAAAAAATGTGGAGGGACGAGGGTCCCCCTGTACCCCCCTAAAACTACGTCCATGCTGGTTAGTCAATACTGCATCTAAGGCCTTTTCTATGCATTTATTTGATGCTTCTAGAAGTATTCTAAACTTTATATTGTTTCTAAAAAGCTTTCATTCACACGAGGATACTGAAAATGATCCAAGGCATTGTAGTAAGTGTGTTTTTACTGAGTGGCTCTGTAACATCTTATAAAATACATCAAAAATGAAGCAGCAAAGACACGCTATGTGCAAACCAAGCCCCAGTTCACAAGACAGGATTTGACAAATGTTGGACGTTTTTTAAGCATGATGGACACAAACATGGTAATAAATAAATCAGTGTTGGTCCCACTGCGTGTGGTGTGCAGTTAAAACTACAAACAAACTGATTACACACACTAGCATTTCACAGTGAGATGAGGAATTACACAAAATGTGAAATCAAAAGTGCCTTCGGAGTAAACAAGCGTGGTGGAAGAAGAGCATGTTGTGTGTTCACCCCATTTTTATTATTGCTTTTGTGGAATAACACCTCATTTCCCTCTGGGATTAATAAAGATTTTTTTTAAATTGAATTGGATTAAAATCTGACCAAGACAATCCAACATGTTTGATATCCTCGATTTTTGATTGGAGTGGTCTCAGCATCCTTCCAAGTACAGTTATTTTAACACACCACACACAGGAAGAATATCTGTTAAGATTATCTTTACAGCCATTACGGTAATTGATTGTTGAGAGGGGTAATTGGATCAAAAATCGCTGTCATTATCTTGCCATGTGAACCGGGCCTAAGCAACAGATGAATAAGAAGAAAAGGATGAAGACGAGTCATTGGTTAGGTTAGAGGTGGGGCAGTGACATCATCAGGTTTAAGCAGTTGCATTTTGGTTGTCTAAGATTCAGATCGTCTTAATTATGTAAACTTGAATGTTTGACTGTTCCGTTATATCCTCTCACGGACACTCTTGAGTTGAATTAATTTAAAGTTCAGGTCCCATCAGCTCTCACGCACAGATGTGTGGTGAAATTGTCCTCCGCATTTGACCCGTCCCCATTTGGTGGTTTAGCCCACCAATCCAACCCCTCAAAGCTGAGCATCAAGCATTGGTTCCATTTTTAAAGTCTTTGGTATGACCCGACCAGGATTCGAACACCGATCTCCCAGTCCCAGGGCGGACACTCTGCCACTAGGCCACTGAGCTGGTAATAAGTCCACAACATTCTCCATGTAGAATACTTACATAGGAGAGTTATGCACTCCATTCAGGAGTTGTAGACCTTCAGGTCTTCACATAAATCTGCCCACCTTCACCCAATACCTGAATCCTTACCAATCCACTAAAAACCTATAATTAGTTTCTACTGTCTGACTAGTTACAGTAAGCGAATGTGATTCATCTCTTTAGGGATAAACGAAGCGCTGTTGTGGATTGAAATGCTGCCAACACAAAGTGAAGGTGCTCCTGGAGCCGTCCCTGTGCTGCCCACGGCTCAGCTGTAGGCCCCCTGAGCTGTCAGCTCGTTGTCGGAGCCAGACTGTGTAGGAGTGACTATTTCTGTCTTTTCTTCCCTCTCTTCCTCGCCTCTTCTTCACCACCCAGTCAGCCCCTCTGGATTCTGTCCATCATTGCGACGCTGCTTCTCCAGCTTGTCCTGCTGTAGACGTGTGCATCGGCATGCCGGGGTGCCCGCTAAGAGGGTAAACGTTCGATTAGGGCTTACAGTCACGAGATCAGAGACTGTGCAGTTTGTCATTCAGCCAGGAGAAACAACAGATTTAGCCTCTTAAATGAAATGTAGAAGAATAAACTTAGTGGTTTTAGATATTTCTGGTCAACAGAAGGAATATCCTGCAGCAATTCTAAGGTTTTATCTAAGGTTTAATAGATATCGGCCGATTTGGGGTTTTCGATTGCCAACGTCAACGTGTAGAGGTCACGGTCAGCCTGTGGCCGACCGGGTTAGGGCTGCAGATAGTTTGGGTCAGGTCAGCATTCAGATGTTTTCCAGCTTCTTTCCTCCTAAAAACTCACTAATCGTTACAATCACAACAATCAATAATCTGACGCACAACATTTCTGAACCTAAATTCGTTTTTAAACACTTGAACCAATTGTCGGATCCTACTTTTGTGCGCTGCTCAGTATAAAAATCAAACCTTTAGCTAAAGTTAATCACACAAATCAATGAAGTGACCAAGTATTATAGTTGATCCGGTGTCGAACTGGCTGGAGGTACAGTAGTAAATCCTCTGATGCAGGCCACAGTGGTGTTCGGGCCAAGTTCAGCCGGTCTTCAGGAGCTCTGAGTTTGGTGACGATGTAAAATTGAATCCTGCTAAAAGCGTAGTCACGATCTGTCGAACTAAAGAGGACAAATGTGTCAGATGTCCTGACTCCAGGTCGTCTGGCTTTATGTTTCTAATGAAGTGAAACACCTGGGTCATGTGTTGACAGACAGCCTGTCAGATGATGAGGACATTTATCATCAATGCCGAATGTTATATTTAAATGTACTGTGTTGGAAATGTAAACATTGTTCTGTTGAAGTCAGACTGAACTCGTTTAGAGCCCACTGTGCCTCACCGTACTGCAGCAGGTGGCTTTAAGACGCGGTAAAACCGCCCAGATGCACCAGAGACGGCGAGCTGGCGGGGTCAGCACGTTGAAAGCTGTTTTAAGAAATGTTATGTTTCATTCATGTTTATATTTAGCGTCTGTAAATGTTAAATGTAAGATTGCTAGTTTCTCCACTGAACCAAGTCTCCACACATTTTTTTCTCAGAAATCTTCAGTTACCGCTGTGGATGCACAGAACATTGCTCTAGAAACAAAGATATGTACAGTTGTGTCAATACTACAGGCCGTAAACTCGCTCAGCTGACTCCCACGCTCCCTGCCGTGATGTGTAGGCATCCCAGAATAGTAAAACCAGTGGGGAGTGCAGCTGCAGATGTGCGCACCAACCTCAGAGAGGCTGAATTTATTTATTCTCTGTGTGTTTTTCCAAGATGTTTAAAGAAGTGTCCCATTGTGTGCCAGAAACCGCGTGGCTCACACGATCCAACAATGCTGTCCTCTGTCCTCTCTGCTGGAATCAATAAAGCTTTTTGCAGCCTCTGACCCAGATTGTGTCGTGATGCGTCCGGAGGTCTCGGCCTGTTGTGTTAGGAGTGGTTCAACTGTACAAGTGCTGTTTTAAGGCGGATGATTTGTGTTGTAGATGCGATGGACCAGCAGAGGGCGCTGCATTCTGGCTGTGTGGTCTCAGGGGTCCGCACACCTCCAGTCCGGCGCAACAGCAAGCTGGCCAGCCTGGGGCGCATCTTCAAGCCATGGAAGTGGAGGAAAAAGAAAAACGAGAAGCCGAAGCCTTCAGCCAGTGAGTGTGGTGGGAACTTGTGACTAGAGGTTGACCGATATTTTCTATTGCCGATACCGATGCCGATATGTGGGAATAACATCAGCTGATGCACAAAATTTCTGAAACTGAATCTAAGTAACTGAAACTGAATTTAACTAACTGTTAAATCTTAACTTTGTGCACTGCTCAGTGTTAAAGTCAGACACCTAAATAAAGCCAGTTTAGAGTATTTATTATGCAGAAGTTATTAGTGATGCACCTGACTTTAAATCGGCTTTACTAAGGACAAGTATCGGCCTGAGGTATCGGCCGGCCGATATATCGTCTACCCTTACTTGTGATGTGGGTGGGGGTGGGGGGGGGGGGGGGGGATGATTTGGACCTAGCATGGGGACAGGAAGCAGGTTGGGTGGATTTTCTGAACGCTGGTGTTGTTTAGCAGCAGAGAAGAAGGCTGCTGTACGTCAGAAGAAAGATGACCACGTCAGGCGGAACACCGAGGAGACAGAAGCTGGTGCGAAACACACACACACACACACACACACACACACACACACACACACACACACACACACACACACACACACACACACTTCGCTGTCTCACTGTGGTCCTCTCTGTGGTTCTGCAGAGTCAGATCAGGCCTGTGGGGGGGACGGTGAGGACCCAGACACCCCAACCCAATCCGACAGAGAGGACAGAGACGAGGAGCCCGTGGCGCCTCTGGTCAGCACCAACGAGGACCTGGGCAGTGATTTAGATTCATCAACAGGTCAGAGAGCACACAAAACACAACTGTTTGCTTTAAATTCAGAGGCGGCAGCGATGAGGGGCACATTAGGGCCAGAAGGCGAGATTTCTAACAATCATGTCTTTTATGTACATGAACAGCTAGAACGAATAGTCCTACATTTGTGAGAAATATCATTTTTATTGATTAAAGGCATAAATGACAAAAAAAGGATGATGATGATATCTGATATAATGTTGGAAAACAATGTCTAAAATCTTTTTTAATTCTTACATATTATAATAATGTTTGAATCAGGAGACAGAAGTTAAATAAAAGTTAATGATGCTAAACCTGGAAAACTCTAACCAAAAGCACCAAAGGGCCTCTGTTATAATGGGGGCCAGTGCATTTCATTATTTGACTTCTTTGAATAAATACTGTAGTGATCTTCTGGGATTTGTAGATTTATTATTCAATTATTAATACATTTTATTGGTATGTGATAATAAATGATTAGAATGCATGGAAATCACTGGGTCAGCTTGTCTTAAGCGTGTCTCTGATTTGTCCACCAGGGGGAGACAGAGACTCAAAAACAAACCTTTGTCTGTTTTTAGTACAAGATGTGGCCGAAGACTCCAAAGCAGCTGGAGATACCAACCAGAGTGAGGATGGAGAGGACGAGACCACCTCACTCAGTGACCCCAGTGAGGCTCAGATGGTGGGGACGGTGGAGACAATCCAGGAGAAACAGGAAGTGACATCAGTAAAGCCTCAGAGACGAGCCAGCACCCCCCCTCCTCCAAGGCTTCCTGTCAAAATGCTCACCCGACTGGGCAGCTTAGATGGTAAGTTTACACACTCACACACACACACACACACACACACACACACACACACACACACACACACACACACACACACACACACACACACACACACACACACACACACACACACACACACACACACACACACACACACACACACACACAGAATCAAACCTCGCCTCCTTTCATAATTTTATTTAGTTAAATTTTACAGTTTATTTTTTGTTAGAATTATAGTTTTTTGCAATAAAAGTTACTGAAAAAAATGTCCATCCATCCATCCTTCCTTCCTTCCTTCCTTCCTTCCTTCCTTCCTTCCTTCCTTCCATCCATCCATCCATCCATCCATCCATCCATCCTTCCTTCCTTCCTTCCTTCCTTCCATCCATCCATCCATCCTTCCATCCATCCATCCATCCTTCCTTCCTTCTCCATCCATCCATCCATCCATCCATCCATCCATCCATCCATCCATCCATCCATCCATCCATCCATCCATATAATAAATTGGGCAAAAGGAATTTTTGTATTTAACCAGGAATATATATGGGCAAGCCAAATAGTTTCCAACACTTTTGTCCACGGTTTCCACGGTGGCCCCATGGGGGTTTACCCAGAAATAATTTTGCCCACATAGATTTTAACGGGCTTTGGTTTTCAGAAGGTTGGACTCGGCCCAATAAAATCTTTGTGGGTAAATATTCAGCACAGATTGCTTATGGAGCCCATTTATGTGAGCTCTCAGCTGCTTTTTGAAGGAGACCCCTGAGTCCACTGATCTCAGGCTCAGGGTTAGGGTTAGGGTCTGGGGGCCACAGCAGCAAATGTCTTTAACCTGGTGCGTCTCCAGTCTCCAGGTCTCCAGTCCATCACAGGGACACACACCCAGTCACACGCTCACACAACCAGGAACATGACTTCATAGGAATGTAAAGGAAAACAACGCACATTTTCTCCATAAAGCCAGTTTGTGACTGCTCATTGCAGTCTCATTAAGTTTTCGGTTCACAAAAATGTGTAAAGAAAATGTCTTTTTAAGTTTAATAATAAAAACTTTGGTCCTGATTCACCCCCTTTCTGCTCATCCTCCAGCTGCTCCTCCAGTTCCTGTCAAAAAGTCCCCAGCCACCTTACCTAGGAACTTCTCACTCCCCAAAGATCCTCATGGTTCTCTGTTGAGGGCAAGGATCTCCACACCCACTGGGTCCCCCCACCTGGGGGCGCTGCCGCCCAGCTGCATCATCGAGGAGCTGCACCGCGCGCTGGCCACCAAACACAGGCAGGACAGGTCAGGTCATCACACACCACTGGACAGATACAGACAGTCCCTGTTAAGATGGCCCTCATCAGCCACATCTGGATACTTCTATCAGGATTGCTGATTTGGTTTCTGCTGATCAGGATTTCATGCTGTAAAACTAGACCACAGTCATCTGAAGTCATCACTGACAGGCCTTTCCTGTGACCCTTGATCTCAGTTTGCAGGTGAAGGACTGTCGCTCCTCTCAGAAGCGCAGGCTGGACGGTCGTCTGTCTCGTACCTCCAGCACAGAGAGCGAACCGCTTGGCGAGTCAGACGGCAAGAAATCGTCTGACGAGAACAAGGAAAACTGGCGTCTGGATCAATACCTGAGCGACCAGGACAGCTGGAACGAGTCTGTGATCTCTGGTAGGTCCGCTGACAGCAGACACGTGGTTGTGACCCTTGCGGTGCAACGCTAACCACCGATCCAGAGGAGAGACGAAGCAGCCTTAATCTCTGCTGTCTGCTGCCATGATGACAGGTAGCTTAGTACCGATGTTTAAAACACAGGCTGGTGTTCGGTTTCTGCTGCCAATCAGCATCTCACTAATTCACAGCAGTGCATAATGGTCTCTGCCTGACGACGCCTTTACCAAAGAACAAACGGTAAAGGAGAGGAGTCAGATGTGACAAACACATCCAGCACATGCAGGGTGTGATCTAAGCACTAACCGGCTATAAGATGTCAGGATAACGGGTTTAACGCGAAGTCCTCTGAAGACGGAACTGCTTTCATTTCAACATACCTAAACAAAGACCTGAAGATCCAGCTAGAATGCTCTTCATGTCCGCCCGATTCATCAGAGAAAGTATTTAACCTCCAAATGAAAAGATTCCATTGAAATGAGAGGCGCTGCCTTACGTTTGACACACCGATTGTTGCAGTAGCTGATGCTCAGGTCAGAAAAACAAGATGGTCTTTATTTCTCCCAATGAGTCGTGGAGGATGGCTGCTTATACTGAGCCAGGATTCTCTGGAGGTTTCTTCCTGTTAAAAGGGAGTTTTCCTCTCCACTGTCGCTTTATGCTTGCTTAGTATGAGGATTGCTGTAAAGACACTGACACTAGTCAGTGACTTGATGCAATTTGCTGGGTTCCTTATATAGGAAACATTATTTCTGATTGGCTTAATGAACTGACCTGAATTGGAATGTTTATCATGTGAAGTGCCTTGAGACGACTCTTGTCGTGATTTGGCGCTGTATAAATAAACTTGAATTGAATTGAATTTGATTATGAATAAAACAGTGACATCTAGTGGCTGAAATCTTTAATAGCAACTCATCTCAGCCCACTGCAGGTGACCCTCCCACCTAAACAGTGATAACATGCATACATGGATGACCTGATAGCACATTTTTCCAAACTGAGATACTTACACGGGAGTACTCGCCTATGTACGAACCACCGCCAGTGTTTTGTAGATGTAAATAACTATTTTGGCTCATCAGAAATGCATTTCTGTGTAGTACTTATAAATATTTACTATCTTGACAGTCTAACTGCTAACGTGCAATGCCGTCTCCTTAAAACAGCTCCGCTCTTTCAACTTAAAGCGTTTACACCACCGTGAGTTTCACACTGGACTTCTATTTTGACAGGAAATCTTCCTTTCAGATTTGATCCCTGGATGCACCAGGTGTGTTGTTTCTGCAGGTGACGTGTACTCGTACATAGCCAGAGAGTCTCCTGTTGGTAACTGTAATGTGAAACTCATATTAGGCTTTATAATTTCATTCCTGCACAAACAGCTGATCAGCTTAGATAGTAAATATGTATAACCTTTACACAGAAACACACGTCAGAACTAGTGATGCACTGATATGAAACTATTGGGCTGATACCGATATCAGATATTAAGATCACTGTTATGGCCGATAACCGATATTTGCCAATACCGATATACTGGCATTAATTCTTCTAAAATCAGTAGATTTTGTATAAAATGAAAATTATTAAAGCTGAATTAATGTTATTAGTACGCACTGATTTATGCTTCTGTGATGATTACAACCACTGTCACATGACTAAACAAACCCACACCACCCCCCTCGCCCTCTGAAACTGACAAACAAATGGAAACAAGATGGAAAAATATGGGTTGTTAATATAAGCCCAGTTTTATTCATCAGACCGATACCGATGTGTTAAAAAATGACCGATATTGATGCCGATATACTGTTCATCCCTAGTCAGAATATCCAAAATATAATTCTGGCTGTACTGTACAGGTGATCGAGCAGGGACTGTTGATTGAAATCAACAAAATCGTCTCCCAACATTATTTTAGTGACTTAGATGGATGAGAAGAGCTTTGGTACTGGCCTTAGGGAGCATCTGCTACTGATCTGGTGCTGAATGCTGCTGGTGGGAAACAGCTCAGTGACTCTGATCCACATCAGTCAAAAGAAAAACACCCCTAACCTTATGGTAGCATGGTTTCAGTCATGCCTTTGGAAACAGACGTGCTTTTAAATATGTTAATTCTTTATTCAGTTAAACCTGCTGCTCAGGAACAACGGCGTCCCTACAAATATTCTGATGACCTGAAACAGGTGTAGCGTTATGAATATGCTATTTTAGTTAGTCAAAACAACATCTTGCCCTCAGACTCGCCTCGCACCAGATGGAGATTCTGAACTGACGCACACACACCAACACTTCAGCATCCAAATCCATATTCATCCATCATTAGAGAGTTAGTCCTGGTGATTGTTTCGAATAATTATAAAATAAATATTCTTAAATGTCCCATATTTCTCTTTTCTTGTCTCTAAGTCAATACAAAGTGTTTGAATAAAATTCCCTGTGGTAAAAACAACCTCTTCTGATTCTAAGGTAAGATTAATCTCTTTACCTTAATAAAGTGTAAGACTATACCAACTAGATTCCGCTACACAGGATTCAAAAGCAGGTTTCTGTCGACTCTTAGCAGAAAGTACAGAAGCGTACTGTGTGGGGATTAGAGTCATCAGCAGGTTGTTAGGAAAACTAATCCCAGCGTTCCTTTACTGATTTGAGTTCACGTTGAACATCAACAGGAACGCTCCCCCGCCGGATGAGGAAGGAGCTGCTGGCCGTGAAGCTCCGAAACCGGCCGAGCAAACAGGAGCTGGAGGACCGCAACATCTTCCCGGTCCGCAGCGACCAGGAGCGGCAGGAAATCCGCCAGCAGATAGAGATGAAGCTGGCCAAGTGAGTCGCTGTGTGTGGACCCAGATCAGCATCCCATCAGCTCCCCTCATCAGACCCCCATCCCTCTCATCACGCTACACCTCATGTATGTCTGCATGAACACCCAGCATCAGTCCTGTCTGCTTTAATAACTGTTAAACCTGTCGGTGTCCTTAACTACACTCATATTCTGTAGGGGTTAGGGATGTGTTGTGGTCAAATCCTGGCGATACGATACGTATCGCGACACAGGAGAGGCGGTACGATATTTCACGATGTGTTGCAGTAAATTCAACCAGAGGATATCAGCGATTTTTGTAGACTGAAGTAATTATAGGAAGATTCAATAAACAGTCCAAAGTGATACGTAACATGTTTAACATGAGGTAATAGAAGGATTTACATTTCAGTGGTGGAAAAAAAACCCACTGCACCCTGCTGCCATCTAGTGGTCGGCCTTTGAATTGCACCAAAATAAACATTACGCAAAGCTTTGCACGTTAATTCTTCCAAAAATTCGATACACAGCTTTTGAATATCGATATAATATCACAGGAAAAACATTGAGATATATTGTCACATCGATATTTTCTTACATCCCCAGTAGGGGTCATGATGATGTCACCACAGACGTCTCAGTTAGTCACAAATAAAAAGGGATTCGTCGTGTGACTCAGATCATCAAGCTGCAAAAAAGTAATCCATGCTGAAATGGTAGATTTGTGCCTCCTTCGTTTCACAGGGACTGCTTTTACTGTTGGACCACAAATGATGTTATGTTCTGATTAATGACAAGAAAGTCAGAGGAAACAAAGCAAGATGGCTGAAAGTTCGGGACTCAATCAAAGGGGAAAGACATTTGTACCAAACCGTGTCCTGTTCCGCACTGAAACAGTTCCCCTCAGTTTTTACAATGAGGTGCCCTGATTCACCCTGCTTTAAACAGAGGAGACACACACACACACACACACACACACACACACACACACACACGCACGCACGCACGCACACACACACACACACACACCCAACGTGGAGCTGCATCACCTCCACTCTGTTTAACTCCTCAAGAAGTCATTCCTACACCTGCTTTCACACAGATGCAAAAGTCCATTTATTACACTAATTCAGCTTAGACTGAGAGACCATTTAAAACCTGCAGAACCTTTAGCAGACTACTGCGGGTTACAGACTGGTGCAGGAGAGCCACTGGCGCACTGGGAGCACATCCTTTCACTGAAGCAAGTGCTAGTGGGAGCAGGAAGCCCTTGGTTCAGAGTCCTGCTGACTTCTGATGACTTAACTTAGAGAAATGTTCTCTGGCTTTATCCTTTTGGAGCACGGATTCATCCTTCCTCAGTGATGGCACCATGTGGATCCTCTGTTCAGCTTGTTCTGTTAATGAAATGATCGACAAACGGAAACAAGAACGGGCCAGATTCATCACCTCTCATCGGAGCTAACCACCAGACCGGGACGGCGTCCCCACTGGCTAGCGGAGCTAACTGCCAAACAGGGCACGAGTCACTACTAGCTAGCAGAGCTAGTAGCCAGACCGGCCCGACGTCACCATCAGACAGCGGAGCTAACCGCCAGACCGGGCCTGTCTTGCTTCACCATCAGCTGGCGGAGCAAACCGCCAGACCAGGGCCGGCTTCACCTCTAAACAGCGGAGCTAAGCGACGGGCCAAGCCAGAACCCACTATCAACTAACGGGGTGAGTGAACAAGGATGCCTCCAAAAAAAATAATAACGTGACTGAGGAGGAATTGGAAGACATAAAGAGATCACTAAACTTCATGTCAGAAGAAATGTCAACAATCTCGAAGCAGCAGAAAGCAATATTGGAATTAGTAGAAGAGGTCAAAGACTTGAGAAGACAAAATGAAGAAAAGGACAAAAGAATTGCTATGCTGGAAATTCGAGTGTCTGAGCTGGAACAATACTCTAGAATAAATGATGTAATAGTGACTGGACTTGAAACAATGCACAGGACTTATGCTAGGGTAACAGCAGCAGAAAGTAGAGATCCACCAGAGCATGAATTAAACAGCTTAGAGAAACAGGTAATAGACTTTCTTGGCAGCAAAGGGATAAACATAGATAGCAAGGATATAGAGGGGTGCCATCCTCTTCCAAGTAAGAACAAAAATCTGAAACCTGCAATCATTATCAGATTGGTGAACAGAAAACAAAAGAAAGAATTGCTTAAGCAAGGAAGAAAGCTGAAGGGAACAAATGTATATATAAACGAACACCTCATTAAGAAATATGCAGACATAGCAAGGCAAGCAAGACTTCTGAGAAAGCAGAAAAAAATACAATCAACATGGACCTCAAACTGCAAAGTGTTCATTAAATTGAACGGGTCTCCAGAGCAGGCAAAGATTTTGGTTATCAAAGAAATGGCAGAACTAGAAAGATACAAGTGAATAATATGGATAAGAAATACTGATAAATTAAAGAAAATAAAAATTATGAAGAACTTGCAGGTTACCAGTAGGGCTACTGAATAGTAAAAAAATGAGGAAATAAATTAGTTTACATGGACACAGAGGATAAAATATATGACATTGATAATAAGATAGATGAAAGCTTTTTTGATTTAAGCATAAATTGTGATTATTATGAAGATGAAAAATTGAACAGTGAGATAATTACAGGAGATAGGCTATCAATTATCCACATCAACAGTAGAAGTTTGTTTGGTAAATTACAAATAATACAAGATTATTTCAGTAATCTTGAAAATAAATTTAGTGTGATTGCAATAACAGAGACATGGCTCAGGAACGACATGATGGATGGAGTTCAAATAGAGGGATATGAACTTTTTTTTGCTAATAGAACATACAAAAGAGGAGGTGGGGTAGCTTTGTTTATTAGAACAGATTTGAAATGTAAATTAGTTGAAGACATGACAATGATTGAGGATGGGGTCATGGAAGTAATAACTGTGGAAATTACCAATAATACATCAAAAAATATCCTGGTTGGTTGTGTTTATAGAGCACCTGGTGCTTGTATTAAGACATTCACTGAAAGAATCAGTGAATTGGGCGATCACATAAAGAACAAAACCTTGCTCTTGTGTGGAGACTTTAATATTAATATAGAGCTGCCTGCTGGACAGAAAACAAATGATTTCATCAATTCTATGTACAGTTTAGGATTATTTCCGTTAATCACCAAACCAACCAGGATCACAGCACATAGTGCTACTATAATTGATAATATATTTACAAATAAAAAAGATGATGTATTGAGGAGTGGGGTATTGATGGCTGATATTAGTGATCATCTGCCTGTCTTTGCAGTACTGAAAAATAAACAATTGATAAAGCAAGAAACCTCGTTAAATTACAAACGAGATAGATCATTTAGAGCATGGGAAGCGCTAAAGAAGGATCTTGAAATGCAGAATTGGGAGGAAGTATATGTAAGGGATGTCAACACTGCATATAAGTCCTTCATGGAAAAATTGATGAAATTATATAATAATAACTGTAAATTATTCAAAAGTAGTGGTAAAAGGGTAGATCAACCATGGATGACTAAAGGAATAAGAAATGCATGTGCAAAAAAAAAACCCAGCTGTATAGGAATTTTTTAAAATCACAGACAAGAGTAACAGAAGACCGATATAAAAAATATAAAAACAAATTAATAGCAATAATTAGGAAAAGGAAAAAAGATTATTATGGTGAATTATTGGAAAAGAATAAGGCCAATACAAAGGCTACATGGGCAATAATAAATAGTGTGACGAACAGAAATAAAACTACATCTAAGGTACCAAATTACTTTGTCAAGGACAATGTAGACATTTATGATGTAAAAGAAATCTCTAATGAATTCAATGATTTTTTGTAAATGTAGGGAGGAGTTTGATGGGTCATGACACTTTAATTGAAGACAATTTGAATACAGTAGTAAATAATGTCAGTAGTATTTTCCTTGGCAAAGTAGAAAAGGAGGAAATACGAGAAATTGTAAAAAACTGTGGAAATAAGCGGTCAACTGATTGTGAGGATTTGGACATGATGACTGTAAAGACCATAATAGAATCTGTTATTGATCCTTTTACTTATATATGTAATTTGTCACTTTCTACTGGAGTCTTCCCTGATGCTATGAAAATAGCAAAAGTGGTTCCACTGTTTAAGAATGGTGATAAACATAATTTCACAAATTATAGGCCAGTGTCACTACTTCCACAGTTTTCCAAAATACTAGAAAAAGTCTTTGCATCACGGTTGGATAAATTTATTGAAAAAAATATGATCTTACATAATGAACAGTATGGATTCAGGACCCAACATTCAACAACAATGGCAATAATGGATTTAACAGAGAAAATATCTGAAGCAATAGACAATAGAGAATACTTTATTAGTGTTTTTATTGACTTAAAGAAAGCTTTTGATGTTATCGATCATTCAAGGTTACTGCAAAAATTATATCAGTATGGAATACGAGGGGTTGCTCATCAATGGGTCAGAAGTTATTTAGATAACAGAAAGCAATATGTTCAGATAAATGGCATTACATCAGAGCTACGAAATATTGCTTATGGAGTGCCACAAGGGTCGGTCCTTGGACCAAAATTGTTCAACCTGTATATCAATGATTTGGTAAATGTGTCTGACAAACTAGGTTCTGTTTTGTTTGCAGATGATACAACACTGTTTTATTCAGGGTCTGATATAAATGAAGTAACTCATGTGATAAATATTGAACTGATAAAAGTTAAAAACTGGTTTGATATAAATAAATTAACACTTAATCTTAAAAAAACTAATTTCATTCTATTTAATGACAAAGAAAATATAGACGTAATATTAAAAATAGATAACATGGAAATTCAAAGGGTAAAAGAAATCAAAATTTTGGGAGTAATGATTGATGAAGCTCTAAGCTGGAAATCACACATAGGCTATATAAAAGGTAAAGTGGCCAAAGCCATTGCAGTATTATATAGCGTGAAGTTTCTACTAAATAGTGAAGGATTGTTATTACTA